ACAAGAACAAAAAAGTCTGATATAAGTATTGTGACACCACCTTTTTTTTCTACATCATTTGCATGACATCTGTTTCTCCACCCCCTCACTTTCAATCTTCAGGTGTCTTTAAATCTAAAATGAGTCTCTTATAGACAACATATAGATGGATTTTGGTTTTTATCCATTCTGACACCCTGTGTCTTTTGATTAGAGTGTTTAGTGCATTTACATTCAAAGTAAGCGTTGATAAATACATATTTATTCCCATTTTATTACTTGTTGTTGTTTCTGGTGATTTTCTCTGATTCTTTCTTTGTCATTTTTGGTCTCTCCTTTGCACTCCGAGTCTTTATTCTTTTCTGCAGGGCTGGTTAAATGGTCACTAACTCCTTTAGTTTTTTGTTTAGGATACTCTTTATCTCTCCTTCTATTCTAAATCACAGCTTTGGGGATAGAGTATTCTCAGCTGCAGATTTATCTCATTCAGCTCTTTGAATATATCATGTTAAACCCTTCTGCTTGCCAAGTTTCTGTTGAGAAATCTTCAGCTAGCCTTATGGATTTTCCCTTGTAAGTTAAGGGCTTCTTTTGTCTTGCTGCTTTTAAGATTTTCTTCTTTGCCACTATATTTTGCAAATGTAATTACAGTGTATCTTGGTGTTGGCCTACTTTTACTGATTCTGTTGGAAGATCTCTGTGCCTTCTGGATCTGGATGTCTTTTTCCTTCCCCAAATTAGGTAAGTTTTCTGCTATTCTTTCTTTCTTTTTTTTTTCCTTCTGTTCTTGAAATAAATTTTCTGTTCCTTTTCTCACTCTTCTTCTGGGGCTCCTTTAATACAAACGTTACTGCATTTGTTGGAGTCACTGAGTTTCCTATGTCTTTTCTCATGTGGCATAATTCTTCTTTCTCTCTTTTGTTCCACTTCATTATTTTCCATTACTCTGTTTCTTCAGTCTGCTGTTCATTGCATCAGCCTGTTCCCAATTTTGTTTATTGCATTCTTCATCTCTAATTGATTCTTTTTTAACTCTTTTATCTCTCTGGTAAGGGTCTCACTGATGTCTTCTATTGTTTTCTCAAACCCAGTGAGTAACCTTATGATTGTTGCTTTAAGTTCTCCATCAGACCAATTACTTATATTTGTGTCTTCTAGATCTCTGGCCCTGGCCTTATTACCTTGTTCTTTCATTAAATTTCTCTTACCATGGCATTTTGTCTAATCTCTGCCTTCTTCTCTGTGTTAGAAAAGCTGGTTATGTCTCCTGCTCCTGAGAGTAATGGCCTTATGAAGAAGAGGCCATGTCGTGCCCAGGCCTGGTGCTTCAGGGAATGTCTCTGATGTGTGCTGTGTTTGCTCTGCTCTTGTGTTTTGGCTGCTCTGTCCTTCAGACCAGTGGTCTGCAAAGCCTCTCCTGGCTTGAATGTGGCAAGTTTTAACCAGGTGTACTCTAGTCTGCTTGTGAAATAAGACCTGACACCAACTCCACCAGAACTGAGGCCCTGCAGAACTCTGGTCAGGAGATGTGGTGTAAGTAGGGGTTTGTGCTGGATTTGGGGGGAGAGGCCCACTGCACTGGGACTGAGATAAGCTTGACTGAGAAGGGCAGTCCCGCCTAAGCACAGGGGGGTGGAGCTTTATGTAAGCAAGTTAGGCAACCAGTGTAAACCTTGTGCTGCTTGCCATAGTTGGTTCAGTTATGCTAAGGGGTTCTGCTTCCGTCTTCAACCGACTCTAGAATAATATTTAATGGCATGATAAAGTATGTTCATAGTGATTGTGATATCTAAAATATATGGTGTATATTTTATGCCAAGCACCTTTCTAAGTGTTTGTATTAACTCAGTTGATCCTCATAACAGTCTTATAAGGAGAAAATATTGTTACCTTCATTTTAAAGGTGAATAAACTGAGGCTCAGAGCATTTAAGTAGCTTTCCTAAACTTAGATATCTGCTAAGAGCAGAACTAGAATTCAGACCCAGGCAGTTTGCCTCCAGAGCCCTTACTAAAGCATTATTACATGAAAAAATACCAAAGAAAAATTGCTATAAAGTTTCTCATGGAACTGATTAATCAAAGTGCTTTTAATCTAGGAAAGAAAATGTGTTAAAGATACCCAATCAGATTTTGACAAAACAGAATTGGTAGAGGGGAGAGACAACTTATCCTACCAGCTATCAAAATATACTAGAAAATATAGTAATTTTTAAAATACTGTATTGGGGGCACTTAGGTGGCACAGTCAGTTAAGCATTTGACTTTTGGTTTTGGCTCAGGTTGTGATCCAGGATCATGATATCAAGCCCTGCATCAGGCTTCAGGCTCAGCATGGAGTCTGCTTAAGAGTCTCTCTCCCTCTGCCCCTACCCCCACCCCACTCTTATGCATTCGTGAGTGCTCTCTCTCTCAAATAAATAAATAACAATTTTTTTTAAAAGATTTTATTCATTCACTTGACAGACAGAGATCACAAGTAGGCAGAGAGGCAGGCAGAGAGAGAGAGCGGGGAAAGCAGGCTCCCTGTCGAGCAGAGAGCCAGACGTGGGGCTCGATCCCAGGACCCTGGGATCATGACCCGAACCGAATGCAGAGGCTTTAACCCACTGAGCCACCCAGGTGCCCCAACAATTTTTTTTTTTAAATAACCATATTGTAGGGGCACGCATTTGCCTTCAGCTTAGGTTGTAATCCCAGGCTCCTGGGATTGAGCCCCGCATTGGGCTCCTTGCTCATCAGGGAGCCTGCTTCTCTCTCCCTCTGCTGCTCCCCCTGCTTACTCTCCTCTCCCTCTGCTGCCCCCCACATGTTCTCTCTGTCTGTCAAATAAATAAAAGTCTTGAAAAAAAAAATCATATTTTATTAGAAATAGGGAAGGGGCACCTGGGTGGCTTAGTGGGTTAAAGCCTCTGCCTTCGGCTTATGTCATGATCTCAGGGTCCTGGGATCGAGCCCGACATCGGGCTCTCTGCTCAGCGGGGAGCCTGCTTCCCTCTCCCTCTCTCTGCCTGCCTCTCTGCCTACTTATGATCTCTGTCTGTCAAATAAATAAATAAAATTTTAAAAAAAAGAAATAGGGAAGGAATAGAGAAGAAAATGAGAAGAGTATGCCACTTTTTATGTTTACAGGGAGGAGGCTGAATGGATACACCTAAATAATAAGAGGAATTATTATTTATCAGGGATTTACAGGTGATTTTTCAGGTTACCTACAGTGAACATTTTTAAATCACATAGTATTAGGCAGTTTCTTTTCAATGCTTTAAAACTTTAGGTTTTAACAATATTTTATTAGTGCAGTATATTGCTATTTAGTTTTATGCATAGGCTGCCCTGCAGTTTCTGAATTGCTTGGTGTACAAAATGTGTCTGTAGATATATATACACACATATATTAACTGTGGGGCATCCTGATCAGATGAGGGGCCAGTGGCATAAGCAGTAAAAGATTTCACCCAAGACAGAACAAAAGAGCTAGAAGTTTATTAAATGCACTGCAAGGGAACGGCGGGCAGGACAGCAAAGGAGAGACTGTCTGCAACAAGGCAGTGTTGAGGGACCAATTACAGCGCAGAGTGAGGAATTAGGGGAATGTATTGAATTTTCCCTTTTTTGGTTAACTGTGCCTGGTTTTATGTAGCACTTCGGTTAGTTATGGCCTCTGGCTGTTTCAAGGTGGGTCACTTAATGAGCCTGTTTACATCAGCTTGGTAGTCACTGTGGGCCCTTTCATCTTGCTCAGGTTCCATTGCTCAAACCTGTTGCCTAAAAGCAGCTTCTACATTTATATTTATATTTATCCTTATACCTGTATTTATATAATACTTGTGTGTGTGTGTGTGTGTGTGTGTGTGTATTTTATGTATTCGTTCATTTATTTAGGTCTTGTATTAACCAATCACACAGAATCACCAATTCAGTCCTTTATGGTAAACATGGAGAAAAGATGATGGGGTAATAATCTTCTAGCCTACTGTTGAAGAGAAGAATTTCAGAATCTCTGACTTATTTTGAAAACCCAAACGTTTATTGATGGTGTTAAGAAAGCTATTGAATTTTATGTATGTAGCTTCTGTGTGATCATATTACTAAACTTTATTATAAGTTGTAATAGTTTTTCAGTTGATTCTCTTGGATTCTCTAGGTATATAATCATTTCATTTACAGATAATGATAACTTTTTGCCACAATACTTATGGTCTGTATGTTATATAACATCCCCCAAAATGGAATAGTTGTTTAAAAAATGAGTAGTTCTTAAAATAACATGGAAATATGAGTCCTACATATCATGAAGTGAAAAAACAGAGTTACATAGTCCTATCCTAGGTATGGGATAATCCAGTCTTTATTTTAAAAAATAAAGCAAACACTACATAGAGAGCTTGATTTGAGAAGACTACTCTTTCCCTCAAAATTTCTGTACTAATTTAGGTACCTGTCTTAGTTTGCTTGGGCTGCCATAACAAAAAAGCATAGACTTGATGGCTTAAAGCCCAGTCTAAAGGCTGGGGAGTCTAAGATCAAGGTGCCAGCTGATTCAATTTCTGGTGTGAGCTCTCTTCCTGGCTTGCAGAAGCCAACTCCTTACTGTTTCCTCCCATGGCAGGGAGGGAGAGAAAGAGAGGGAGAAAGAGAGAGAGAGAGTGGAAGTGACTGAGAATGAGAATGATCTCTCTTCCGGTTCTTACAAGACCACAGTCCTATCAGGTTAGGGCTCCACCCTTATGTCTTCATTTAAATTTAACCTTAATTACTTCCTAAAGACTCTAGCCAGATAGAGTTACACTGAGGGTTAGGGCTTCAACATGACTGGGGTAGGGGGAGAAGGCGTGCACAATTCAGTTCAGAGCAGTGCCTAATTTTTTTCCCCTGATCTCTTCAGAAATCCTATATTTAATTTTATTTCAGACAGAACCAGTTTTATTATTTCTTATGACATTCTTAAAAGACTTGTTACTTTACAGTGTATCATAGAAATTTTATCTCAGTTTAACTTCATGAATCATTTCTTCTTAGACACAAAATCGAATGAAGCTAATGGCCGACAACTATGAGGATGACCACTTCAAATCATCCCATTCCAATCAAACCAATCATAAACCCTCCCCAGACCAGGTAAGACTGTTCGTGAATGTTTTATAAAAACAAATGTGCTTTTATTTTCATGTATCTTATACTAGCATGTTATAAATGCCAGAGCATAAGTTAGAAAAATAGAAATAAATAATTTCTGAAATCTCCTTCACTCATGTTTTTAAACACAGATTTAATTTCTGTGCAGGAAGATGGTGGTAGATGATTCTGAATATTTTAAGAGATACTCAAAAGATTTGAGGACCATAAGGAATCCTTGAATTAGTTGAGAAAAATATTAATCTCAGAAATACATACTAATTTGTAAATTTCCTGCTTTTCTTATTAAAACAGTGCCTTATTAAAAAAAAAAAAAGACTTTCCTTGTGAGCTCAGTAAGACACAATTCTGTTTAGAGATTACTGTTGTTTAATTGCAGATTTTTAAATCTCTCATCATCACCTATTGTAAAGAGTAAAAATTTTTTCTCTCCCATTTCCTTGGTTGATTCCTCAAGTATATGTTATTCTCAGGGAAAATTGTTGCCTTCAGCTTCTCATCAATGCAAAAGAGGCATTGATAAGTCTGAAGGGAACCATACTCAACTCCAGACTTTTGGAAGAAGGGAACTCTCCCAAGATCTTGAAAATGATGGATGGGGGAGAGTGGTGAACAGATTACCTCATATCCCATTGCCAAAAATCAGATTTCAACATCTCCATCACACTCAATCTTAAAATATATAGCTGAAGGGAAAAAAATAATAGTTAAGTAATTACATCCATATGACTTAAAGAGCCAAGGGAAACTCCCCCACTAAACATCTCCATTGAATGATAGCCGTGACATTGTCTTAGATGAAGAAATATTGCAGATGAAAACATCAATAATACCCAAATTACAATTTCTTCTAGGATTCAGAAGATACAGTCACAGTATGATGACATTTACTAAGCCAGTTGAGGCTAGTCTTATATTTTAGAGGGAAAACAATACCAATCTTAATGTAGGCAGAATGCGGAACTGTCTGCCTGATGTCAGCCGTCTTTCTTTGCCAAGAAATGATTTTGCTATCTCTGCCTGTTCTTGAGAGCCAGAATTAAATTTATGCCAGTGTATATAAGATGAGTACTAGATCCTTTCTTTGAAACAGGTTTCGATCATGAATAAATAAAAGAAATTGGATGCCTGAGAGTAGTGAGAAGAAAACAGAAATGAGGAAAGTTTAAAGAAAAGGCAAAAATAAAGAAATCCTCCAACCTGATAATGCCCAGATCCAGCCCTGGGATAGACACAGTGTCTTGGAAGGGTAGGAAAGTAGAAGTGTAATGACAAACTAATTACTAATTTGGATAGGTTAGGGAATTTAGGAAGTTAGAACCTAATATAAAAGGAGTCAGGAAATTAAAGACCATTTTCTTCTACTACATTATGCTTATGTCTTTGTTTTAAATACTAACCAACTCTTTTTCATTCCCATGCTGCCCTGGGGCATTGTTCCCTTTGTCATCTCTCTCCCCTAGGATGAGGAGGAGGGTATATGGGCATAGCCAATCAGATGCTCTTAGTTCAGCCATTTTGTTCAGAACGGTGAGAAACACCTTTCCTTAACTATAGAAATGTTTTTTGTTTGTTTGCTTTCAATTTTTTTTTTTTTACACAATCATTCTCACATCTTATTTCCCTGTAATTCATGAAGTTGTTTGATGTGCTTTCTGTTTTCTCATTTTCACATGATTCCTGTGTGTATTGCTTTGCTTCTGACATAGTGGGATTGGGTTTTGTGGGTTTTTTTTTTTCTTTTTGTGTGTTAATAGTCACTTTTATAATTTCTTTTTATACATTTTTGGGAGAACTTCCAGGGCATATAATTAAATTTCTCCTGTTGTGATTTTATTAATAAACTACCTTATCTAGTGTGATTTTACAGTGTCCTGGTAAGGTTTATAGTGACTTACATCAAACTGGAACTAGAAAATTGATCAAATACTCTGCCAGTAGGTTTGGGATATACTTTTTATGATAATTAATTATAAATATATGTCTTTAAAAAAACTGTACTGTGAACTAAAACCTTTTGTTTCTGTCTGTAAAAGGATGCTCTGAATTCTCAGGGTCAGTGGTTCTTATAAAGTGCCTACCAAGGACATTCCCCTAGAGCTTTGACATTACTCTCAAACTGTCCTTAAAAATAAGAAGTAAAGAAGTAAAGAAGTAAAGGAAGACCTTTTAAAGTCGGTTTAAAGAATTCTTTTTCCTCTCTTTTATTGATTGCTGCTGTATTAAACAGTTGCCAGGACACTGTCTAGATTCTCCTTTCCAGGCCAATTGGCTGGAAGATATAGTCCAGCTGTGGCAGTATCTCCCTTTGATCTGATGCCCTGGAGGTTTGACTAAGGAAATCCTTTTCTTAGAAAAAATAATAATTACAATTAATAAGTTCACACATATTGGTGGCCTTGCACTCCCTGGATTCACTGCCCTTGCTTATTGGTGATCTCACTCTTTTGGAGTCCATTCTGTCTGAAAAGTCTGTGTCTTGGTGTTACACTTCTTAAAATGATGAGGACATGTGTAGACCTCTCACTAGCAAACACAGCCAAGAAGGATGATGAGGTAAGTTGTGGAAAGGGGCATATACTGTGAAGATGGGAACCTCTCCAAATGACTTTATCCTGAGGGTGTACAAGGCAAAATGTGTACCAGCCAAAAACCTCATTGGGTTAGTGTGTTGCATGCCAGGCAAAGCTAAAGCTGAGAAAATTCATGTGCTAATTCTCTTTATCTATACTGCCCCCTGCAAGGGTATTTGTTTGTCATCATGAAGGATGTGGGGGCCATCCAGTAGTTGAATATAGAATACCAGTCCACTCCCTCTAAATCAATCTGCCTTGTCTATTTTGGCAGAATATAGGAGCTTCTTGGCATGCCTTAGCAGGAAGCACGTCCCTGATGTATATGAATAGGATTGTATTGGTTGAATACCCTTTTTCCAGCCAATCAGAAGAGACAAGTTAGTATTACAGGAAAGAAGGGCCATTGATAACTTCACCAGGAGACTGAAAGACAAACAAACCTACACATAGACTTATTCCTAAAGTCTCCATTTTATTTTCTCTTCTTCCCTAATAGAATAGCTCCTAGTAAGAGTTCAGATGCTATTGATTTTGTTGTTGTTTTTTTTTTAATTATTGCACTGTTGAGCTTATTGCACTAAAATATTAATTGCCAGTGGTTTAACAGTACAGTTGCAATTATCTGGCCGTAACTGGAGTTTCTATGATATGCTATTACAAATTTTTAAAAATGTCTTAAAACATTTTATGTTTATATATATATCTATAAATGTCATAATATCATAAGGGTTTTACCTAAAGAAATTCATGAGTGATCCCTAGAACATTACAGAAGTCTTGACTTGATCTCAGTTTTCTTCACTTGTTTTCTTCACTTGTTTTCTTGCTAATTCTAGAGAACAGATTTTCTTAACAAAGGTTCGGACTTTTGAAATCGATGATTTCCCTTTCCAAACTTAAGAATGTGAATAATGCTTTACACCTAAAACATTTTATAAAACACGGTATATATGTCAGCAAAGCATGAGTCTTACTAGGTATAATCAGTAATCAGACAGGGAGAGAATCAGAAGTAGAGACCTGAAAGGGGTCTAGGCAATTTCACAAGAAGTGGTAGAACATAACAGTTAAGAGTGGAGGCTTTGGAGTAGAATGCCTCTGGTCAGATCCTACCACCACCATGTATTAGCTTGTGACTTTGGACAAGGTATTTAATCTCCCCGCACTTCAGTTTCTTCATCTTTCAAATGGAGGTTGTTGTGAGAAGCAGATGAGTTGTTAGAGGCATAAACTCTGGAGCCAGACTGCACAGCTTTGCATCTAGACTCCTCCACTTTCTTTGTGGCCTGGGGAAATTAACTTATTCTTTGAACGCCACTTTTTCTATAATAAGAGATTATTTTATTTATTTGTTTTTATTTATTTATTTATTTATTTATTTATTTATTTATTTTGAGAGGAAGGGAGAGAGAAGAGGGGAGAGTGAGGGGTAGAGGGAGATGGAGAGAGTTAATTAACAGGCTTCATACTCGGTGCAGTGCCCGACATGGAACGGGATCTCACAACCAGGAGATCCTGACCTGAGCTGAAATCAAGAGTCAGACACTTAAGCAACGGGCCACCCAGGTGCCCCGGTAAAAATGGTTTTATTACTGGCCTATTTTGTAGGGTTGTTGGACTGATTATTAAGTTAATGTATGTAAAATGAATTGAACAGCGCTTTCCACCATGTACTCTGTTTATGTTATTATATTTGTTGTTGCTGTTGTCATCATTAACTTGAATCCATCTCTAGGAAGTAGTCAGTGTTCAGTAAGTGTTAATTAACCATTTTTATTAATGTCTAGTCAGTGCTCTCATTCTGTAGGTAAGGGTGCAAATAAATAAATAAATAAATAAAATAAAAGGATTTAGATGTGATGTTAAGGACCCCGGGCCTTTCTGTGCTCTGGAAAGAGGAGCTCATAGCTGACAGTGAAAGAGATAATCTAAGACATATTAGTGATTATATCTCCCTTTTCATCACCAAAAATGTAATCTCTTATATCCTGAGGAATTTTTCCCCTTGAGAAAACACCTTTAATTTTTCTATAAAAGAAATTCATTCATTGGAACTTTCTTTGAATTTGCTGTCATTACCCTCTGGAGACATAAAGAATAAAGCAAGTGTTACCTTCAGTTAGAAAGCATGAGAGTCCCTTCTCTCTCCCCTCAACCTATAGAGAATCCATGTGAAATGTGTCCCCGCTACTGACTATCCACTTAATTTGTGTTTTCTTTCTTGTTGTTCCCTGAGAGTAGAATGTAGGCCCTGTGGGGACAGGGACTTTAATATGTTTGCTTTTGTATTTCTATTATCTAAGATAATGACTAGTATGCAATAGGCCCTCAGCAAGTATATATTGAATTAATTAACTTCTGAATTCATGAAGTCCAGAGAAGAAACAGTAAAGTTTACATTGAAAC